GGCAGCGGCGGCTGGCGCAGGAGCGGGTGGCCACCTTCGAGGAGTGCCGGCGGCTGGAGAGGAGGAGGCGCCAGCGCAGCCAGCGCATCGCCCAGTTCAAGCAGCAGAAGATGCAGGAGCTCAGGTGATGTGCTGCCAGTGGCTGCTTATTTCCCTGGTTCCCTGCATGTCCCTGAGTCCTTCCTGGCTTCCCACCATCTCCTGTCCCCTATGCCACCTCACAGGTCCCTTTGCATCCTCATCAAACAGGATCTGCTCTGGAGCCGTAGTCCTAGATCTCAGCTCCGGCGTAGCACAGAGTGCCTGATGATTTCTTTCCTCTGCAGAGCCTCCGGCATCCCCGAGAAGTACTGCGCCCAGGTGGAGCGGAGGGCCCTGAACCGAGCAAGCACAGCCCCTGGCCAGGCTCAGCCCCGCAAGCAGCGGAGCTCTGGTTCCCCAGCAACTTAAGGGTTTCCATTTTCTTAGGCTGAGTTTTCTATGAACAGAGATGTTTATGGAGCAGCCGGTGTCTTTGATCCTTCTCTCGCTTCGGGTTTGTGGGCCAGGAGCTGCCCTTGAGGCTGGAGTAGCCCAAAGGCTTGTTGTGTGACCTGCCTGCTCCTGGGACAGAGATCACCCCTTGCCCATCTCCCCACATCTGCTGGGAGAGAGATGTCAGAGGTGGTCTGTGTCCTCGGAGGGGCCAGGAGTGTCCCCAGGCCCTCAGCACAGCTCGGTGTCACCACTGAAGCAGCTCGGAGCAGAGCGGGTGTTCCCAGCCTGCGTGGGGTGGCTCAGGTAGGGTCCCCATGAGCCAGGCAGGGTCTTCTCCACGCACACAGCTCTGGCCCTGGCTGCATCAGCCCTAGCAGTGGCAACTTCTCACCGAGGTGTCACCTCCAGGCCCTGCAGCAGCCGCCTTCTTCAGGGGCAAAGCAAAGAGACTGGAGCATGATGCAAACGTTTAAAATCTGTTCGGATAGGGACTGGCAGCTTCAGAGGGCCGGGATCCCGCAGGAGTGGCTCTGATTAATTGTCAGAGCAGCTGAAAAATAAGGAGAGCTGGCAAAGGCGAGACTGCCCAGGGCAGGGGGATGGCTCAGAGGACTCTTCTGTGAGCCCTGAGCCTCGTCCAGGCTGGGTAAATAGGGAGGACGAAATGCCGTAGCCTCTTGTTATCTCTTCACTGTCTCTTCTCCAGCTGCTGTGTGTCCCCATGTTGTGATGGAGCCAGGCGCTGCGGGGCTGCGCTGTCCCTTTTGGGGCAGGGGCACTGCTGGGCATCTGCCGCCTCAGACCTGACCCCGAGCAAGCCCTCACGGCCACCAAGCTCTCTGGGACCCCTGGGGCCTCGGCCCCCGTGGCCAGCCCAGAAAGCATCTGTGATGCCCAGCACCAGGCTGGGCTGCCCACACCGCCATCCCCAGTCCCCAGCGGCTACACACCAGCCGTGTCACTCTCGGTCACTGCCTTGGCCAGACAGTCACAGCCTTGTTCTAGGCCAGGCTCAGCCTGGAGGGTTTCAAAGCCACTGCGCTGGCCACACCGAGGGGGGCTGTGACCACCGACGGGCGGCTAGCTGGGGTGGAGTGGCTTCTCCACCACTCCCGCGCGGGGCGGGGCTCCGT